TACGAACACCTATCTCGTGCGCGTAAAAAGTCTGCTGACCTTGAACTTTACCGCGGCGTACAAAGTCTGCCCGTGCGAACGCACGCTTAGTCTACATATTTACATCTTAATTCAAACTTAATGAAATAAAACAAAAGTATAAAAGGAATTCCTACTACTAATTCTTATAAAACGTGCACATATGCGGCAATCGGTAATGTCCCTTGATAATTCCTGGACAATATCTAAATATATTTATGCGGCTACAATGTACAAGATTATGTTAAGTACGCACTTTGATTTGCTTATCTACCGTCACGTATTGTAGACGTAAAAGTGTTAGGAGTAGAACAGAAAAGACCAATTGATTTGGCGGCCACCACTTTTTAAACAACCGGGGGAGATACAAACGCTTTTAAAAAATACTAGAAAATAGTAGGAACAGCAGTAATTGACGCATTAGAAGTTTGATGTATTATGTTTAGATACATAATAATTACGTACTCAATAGCTTTTGAGAGTACATGCACTCTAGATATCTTTATAGAAAAGTGTAATTTATTAATAGACAAGAATCTGCTGTATTTTAGGAATCCACCAGATGCCGGCTGCCGAAGCATAGACGAACGGAAGCTCGTCTTAATCAATTAAGAAATCTGTAAACAGTATTTATATAACCGCGAATTTATACTGTCTAATTATAAACTTTCTTGATTTCAATATTTTTAAGTAATTTTGTAATTTAATTTTATTCAAGTTGTTCTCTAGTTAATTTCATTAGATATTGATGGAAAACTAACATCACAACAGAATTTTTATTAATGTGTCGTTAGTGCGAATAGTAATATTAGCAAGAATAATATAAGACAATAGAATACAATGATTTTAATAAATTCTATATGATAGTTGTCAAACCACCTAACTTGAAGCGACCTTTAAGTTTCCAACATTTGAAAATCTATTTTATAAATATGTATTCGATCGTTCAGTCGTGTTCCTGTATTTGCTAACTAGTTTTTTAAGGTCATATGTGAAAATGAGGCATATTATACATGTCACCGTAAAGCTGATTAAAACGATATTTTTTAATCTAACTAAACTCCAAACTACACAACACAACAAGGAAAAGTATTAATAATAAAAAAACCTAAAGGACATAGCTAAACGTATATTTTTGTATACAGAATTATACCTATTAATATTATACAAATATAGTTAATTAGTATTCGTCAAGGCTTCTTGGGACACCGTTACCTTATTAACTTATTATTTGAGCGCCCGCGTTCCCCACACCACACCACGAACTACGAGGAATGTGCCACTCACTAAAGTGCATTGTTGAAGGTCACATTTAGGTCAACATTAGTCAATCTGTAATTACACCGGCTTCCTAACTACAAGAACCTGCCATATTAATACGATAACTTGTACACAGATTTTCTTTTTAATTCAATTTTCAATTGCAATGAAAGATTCATTATTGTGCAAGCAAATGACAATCTGATACGAATGGATAACTAAGTTTTAAAAAATATTTTATTTAATTCCAACTGACTCATCTTTTAACATAGCGAATAACAAGTGACCTTTGCAATGACATATTCGAGTGGATTTAAAACATTGATTATTGTTATAGAAACTATCCGTGAACTAAAACAATTTATGGAATTTTGCCGCCCTTTTTCCTTCTTACGGGTAGGTATTGCAAAAATTAGTCGAAATTGATGATAGATATTGTCATTTAATCGTTTTTAATGAACGAATGAATATCTTATCAGTAATATTGTTCAATACAAGCTTTTAGCATTATAGTAAATTGAACCATATCAAAGAAAAACAAAAAGGATCAACAATACGTAGGAAAATACTTAACGAAGATAAAGAATAAACATGTACGTTTTTTTATCAATCGAACACAATAATGCTAACAGATAATTTAATTTATATGTATCTGTGAATTATGGATTCTAGTAATTAGATATTTAACAGGTGGATTTTTCACAGAAAAATCAAACTAATTCTTATGTATTTTAAATCTTATCTTATGCGCTAAACATTACTAAGAATGTATATATTTAAGGAAATAAGTTTATCTTCTTTCAAAACATAACAATGTCCCGACTCACACATTGCCGCAGTTTTCAGAAATTTTAACATCGATATACAGATTTAAGAAATTTCGAATTGTGATTCATACTTAAATTGAACTAATACTTCTAATTTGATAATAACTGCATCGTTTTAATTATGTCGTTAGGAAATTGTTAACAATTCTTATTATTCGTAATCACTTTTAAATTGAGATCTCTAACCTGTCTTAATATTTGCTTTTTCGTATTTAAGAAATTGGAACAAATGCATATTAACGTGTAGTAGTATGGGGAACTATATTTTAGCGACACCTTGTTTATTTCGTTTGTATTGTACATTTAAAGACAGTAACATATCTTTTATTTGAATACTATTTAACACCTTTCCAATTTGTTCATACATAGTTATGCATAAATTGATTTACGCAATTCAAAGCGTTGTGTCACAGAACCTTCACGGCCGCTAGGGGGCTCGCCTTTCATTTTTAGGTAATAAATGCTGTTAATTGGTATTTGTTATTTTAAATTAGTTTTATCGCAATTGCAATATCGTAATTAAAATGCAATACACTTCTTTGTACACTTATTACTACTATACTAGTTTTACTGTTATTATTACCGTGTATTTACTGTTTTTTTTTTACGTGATGATATTTTATATACCCGATGACAAGGGATTAGTACGTACGGCTTTTTTATGGCCAAACATTAATTAGTAAAAAAAAACACCAAAGTTTGAAATATGAATATATTTATAAAATATGAAGATCTAATTAAAATGTAAAATTTTAATCATAATAAAAGGTTATCTGTTGTACAGATCATCAATAAATTTTAAGGAACAAAAAATAAACATAAAATATATTATATTACTAAAGAATCTATTTTTGCATTTAATGATGTGCGTAAAATATTGTTGACTTACCAAAATAACTATCACATAAAATATTACACTATAAACAATAGTAAGCCGTGTGTAAAAAAATTAGGCAATAATATGTGAAAAATGTAAGAACATAGTTATATAATAATATGTTGAAATGCTTCCATATAATGCTGAAGAAACCCAAGCAGTAATTTTGTATGACTAGCGACTCGCTTAGGAGATAAATGTAAAATGCCGTTATACAATCTTTACATGCAAAATTGTATATTTTGTACACTTGTATCGCGCTAGTTATATTAAGACAATAAAATGGTACGAGTACAATATTGGTCCTACCGATATACATATGTATCTTACATATAATGGTACTGTTAGTTAATTTACTTAACAAAAACATAAGGAAAATAGAGTTGAATTTAAATGCACGACATATTGTAATTTCTGTAGTGGATAGCAATAAAAATAATCTCATACAGATAACATAGTACAATGAGTACTTTATCATGCAAATTTCCTTAATTCCACATACAAGCAGTTCTAATAGCCAGATTTTTTATATTTCATAGTTTAATTTCCGTTTGAATGATAATTTACAATATAATCTAATACTTTTTACAAAATAATTTTGATAAATGAGTATAGTAACACAAATGTTTCAATTATATTTAAATTCTAGGGCAGTAAATAATACTTATTTACTTTACATTGTATATCTAAATACCTATAGTCATATTTACAAAGTGTTTTTACCTATTTGTGTGTCACAAAATAAGTAGTAATTCTATCTTATGTCATGATTTAAAATTATAAAAAAAACCATCAGTGTTAAATAATTATACAAAATCAATTAATACAGTTTTTAAATTTAACACAATGAAGCAAAAAAAACAATAATCAAATATAAAAGTTTTAAAGTTTAAGTGAATGGTGAATTGACCTTGATATTTGAATGAATAAACATAATAGATTGCATTAAGCATGGAATGTTGTATAAACAACAACAATGGAATGTTAAACTATGACGGAATTTGAGACTTACTCTAAATTTTTACTTAACTTGTTAAATTTTATGCATTCTTAGATTTTCTAAGCTATACTAAAGTAAATATTTATAGTGCATTACTAAAGTAAATATGTGAAATCAAAGTAAATCAATGTTACATATTATGTACATACTAAAAAAGAGATCGCCTGTATGTAATTCATAACTTTGAAGTTTACTCTACAGTTACAGACTTAGCAAGGTTTCTTGGACAATCAACATTACATCCTCGCAACACAGCTATGTGATAAGCCAACAATTGCATAGGAATAACAGTAAGAACACCTTGTAAACAATCTACAGTTTTCGGTACTTCAAGGTACCGTGAAGCAAGATCCATGGTTTCTTTATCACCCTCCTCGCATACGACGATGGGACGACCTTGACGTGCTGTAACCTGTTGCAGGGCATTCATGCATTTAATGTAAACTGGATCTCGCATAACTATCATCATAACTGGCATGGAATCATCAATAAGAGCTAGAGGTCCATGTTTTAATTCACCAGCCATGATGCCTTCACTGTGCATGTAAGTTAATTCTTTAACCTTTAAAGCACCCTCCAAACAGGTGGCAAAGTTGTATCCTCGACCCATAATAAGTAATGACCGTTGGCGATAAAGATCCTCTGCTAATGCTTTCACTTTGTCATCTAAAGCTAAAACCTGTTTAATCTTTATGTCTAATTCATGCAATCCAGCAATAATGTCTGCTCTTCTCTTTTGCAAAGAAATACGGTCTTCACTTATCACTAGCGCAAACATAACAAGTGACACAAATTGTGAAGTATAAGCCTTTGTGGAGGCTACACCAATTTCAGGACCTGCATTGATGTGAACACCGCAATGTGATTCACGGCATATGGAACTACCAACAGTATTTGTAATACCAACAATAAGAGCTCCATGACGTTTACAGTACCGCAGAGCCATTAAGGTATCGGCTGTCTCTCCTGATTGTGATATGAAGAAGCATACGTCATCTCTGAAGACAGGTGTGTTTCTATCCAAGAAGTCAGAGGCCAGCTCTACCATGACCGGGAGCTCGGTCAATTCCTCTAAAAGCTGACGAGTAGCCACTGCACTGTGGTAACTGGTACCACATCCTATCAACATAAGCCGTCTGCAACGTTTTATCTCTGGGACATAATCTTTAATACCTCCAAGGGTAACAGTCCCATCTGCAAAATTCAAACGTCCTCTCATTGTATTCACAATAGATTCAGATTGTTCAAAAATTTCTTTTTGCATGAAATATTCATAATTTCCTTTCATAATTTGTTGCAGCTCTAATTTCAGAGTAAAAATTTCACGTTGATGTGGATCATTGCTGCTGGTTGACATACGGTGAATGCTAAGAACACCATCTTTAATATGAGCAACATCATCATCTTCAAAATAAAGCACTTTATTTGTGTGTTCAATGACCGCTGAGGCATCTGATGCAAAGAAGTACTCCACATCTCTCTCTTCCTCTGGTTCAAAGTGGGCATGGCTATTGACACGAGGTACAGAAGGTACTACTCCTCTGGTTGCTTTATTGTTGGTGTACATAATAGGAACATGATCACTTGAGAGCCGGCGACGTGTTTTGATCCCAACTAGTAAGGGGCTACCACGCCTGGTGGCAACACACTCATTAGGGAAATATCGTGATTTAAAGCACAAAGCAAAAGCACCTTCAAGTTGTTGAATTACCTGTTCCACTAATTCCTGGAAGCTGTAGTCTTTATGTTGGCTATAGATGTGGTGAACTAATTTTGCAATCGCCTCCGTGTCAGTCTGGGATTCAAAACTGTATCCCTTGTTTTCAAGGAAAGTTTTAACAGCTTTGTAGTTAGTAATAATTCCATTATGAATGACAACAAACGCATTGTCTTCTCCGGATCGCTGTGGATGAGAATTAATGGCACTCGGCTCGCCGTGAGTCGCCCAACGGGTGTGCGCAATGCCACAATGAGATTCAACACTTTCATCTACACCCAATTCAACACTGCGCTCCTGAAGTAATTCTTCGAGTGCCGCTACTTTCCCGCTTCTTTTAATAACCGCTATATCTTTTTCATCGACAGCATCAACAGCTACGCCAGCAGAATCATAACCACGGTATTCCAAACGTTTAAGACCGTTGACTAGTAATTCCAGAATTTCTCGGCGCGTTTTAGGAGTAAGGTGATTAATATACGCGAATATTCCACACATCGTTAACGAAGTAGAGCGAAACCGTTGACTCGAGTGCACGAAACCACGAACGACTGTGGACTGTGAGCAATACAACGTGTAACTGATATCGAAGACCTTCGAATTACTCCTACCACTAATAAGATACTTTCACTTACGGCCATGCACACGTCATCATGTTTCGTTATCGCAGATACAGCCTAGTAGCGTAAATATCGGCATAGGCAGCGGCAAAACCAGTCTATAATCACTCAATACATTACATTCAAAGAAATAGAATTTGACAGTATGTCGAACTGACAGTTCTTGATTTGTGCTTTGCTGTCAACTGTCAAAAAAATTGACATTTTGCTGTCTCTTTGACAAGATAGTGATCATACTTTTTTAATTGGCTATTATTCATGTTCTGAGTTCTTTATACATTCTTATGATGTTCAATAAAAATATTGGCTGCCCAAAAAAAAAATCCACACCATATTGCGAAAAACAAACGTAAATAATTTCTTGTATAGTGCCGCCATGGATGTAATATGTACAACGTACAACAGGACAGGATAAGAGTTCTGATCTGTTCATCTTGCAGATAAAATAAAGAAAATAGAACCTTACGCTAAGGATGTAAGAGTCTTGTTGCACGTAAAATGAAATTGAAACCGAGTGAGAGGGCTACAAGTGTCCGATATTTCCCTTTCTAACAGTGACCTAGAGTTGCCAGATATTAATACTTTAGTTTGTAGAAAAATAGGCAATTGATGCAATGTAATGTTGTAAAAATATTTACTTTTAAAATGTTTCTCAATATTAATAATAATTTGTTACCCATTTTAAAATAATATTATTTGTTACTACGGGTAAAACCTTACAATCACAAAAATTTTTCGATTGGCGTACAGGTTTTATTTTATTTGTTTGAAATTCGGATACCTGAAGTGACAATCCCATATGTTACCCCGGGTGTTAATGGCCAAGTCGTTTTTGATTTCGTGATATTTTCAAAGAATTTTAGTTAAAATGGGAAGAATTTGTGACGTGGGGTTTAGTGAAGGATTACGGTGACTATGCATGACTATCCAATTCTAGTTCTAGAACAAATAACTTATAAAACACTTATTTCTTATTATGCATTTATTTCTTCCTTTCTCTATTAAAATAACATTGATTTAATTTTAGATTTTTTCAGATTTCAGATTTAAGGATTAAGATAGGTTTGTAGCATAAATTTCTAAAGATTTATTTTGCAATGTCTGATTTAGAATTATGTCTTTTCTATTGTTTTCAGTAGATACATTAATGATAACACTAATACGTTAAAATCTATCTGAAGCAATAATCAGCTGACCTCAGGCAAAAACAACAAGGTTTTTTTTATATGTGTTATATTAGTTAAATTATTTTTTTACATTACTTAAATCATATTTTAACATAGTCACCATCGCCAGAGAGGGATGGAACGGACAGTTATTGAGGTCTCGCTCGGCGTCAATTTTTCGACAAGAGCTTAATCCTGTTCTAATAGTACATATATCTGTGATAGTAATAGATTTATGGTAGCCCCGTTGGATAGAATGTGAATGACCTATGACCACACCCACCATGACGGATAGCCAGACATATGACATGTACTATTTTACACATATTGAAATGCCCTTTTTCCGTACAAACGGAAAATTTTTACCAAGTTAGATTTAATGAAGGAAAAAGGTAAACATAAAACAAAATATTTTACCAGTAGCTTCTTTATTGGTTTTATCAGGAATAAGGTCTTTACAAAATCATTGAAAAAATTACAAAGATACATTTAGCTTAAAATGAGTTTCAAGTTTCTTCATACCTATGAAATATATAAAATCACCTAAATACGGCCTATTTCAATTGAATGTTTAAACCTTTACACTGAGATCAAATTCCGACGCCAAATAAATTTAGTTTCACAAAGAAACGTGTTAGGAACAAAAATCACGTTGCCTACATTCTTTACTCGTACTTCACAAAATTTTATCCAACGTTTTCAACGTTTTAAAATCGTACTGCTAATTCAACTATAGGGAGCCGGTTCTAAACCGCCCCTCATTTTATACACTCTGATGTTTTGCTTTACTCTTAAATCCCTACATATCCTCTACCGTAAGAAAATAACGCTCTTAAAAGTATCATCAAGATCTTTGAAATTAAATTATTAGTATGAAATTAAACTTACAAAACTTGAAGTGACCAAATAAAAAATGAAACGTTAAAGGATTCTTGACCAAACTGTACGTTTATAAAGGAACAATAATTTTAGACAAGGAAACGAATGAGCGAGCACGACGTAGTGAAACGGTTTAAAAATCCAACAATCGCGCCGTTGCCTTTCCTCCTAAACTCTTTGCGATGAAAAAACAAAACGTAACGAGCTTTCAAGTGCGGGAACTCAAACTTGGCGAGTAACTTACGACTAAAGTAATCACAAATACATAAACTTAACACATAAGCGTAACTAAAACGAATTAACTTTAAACACATCTCGCTACGATAAATGCACGTAATACGGGGGGAGGTGATGTCACCAGTGAAGAAGCTATGATTGTTGACATAGGGACACGACAACGATAGTGGGGGCTCGGCGGCGGCCG